GGGAAATTACTCAGATGACATTCATTCGCAGAACATGTCAACGTGTGTCAAGACTTGTTGAACAGCTTCCAAGACAAGTGACAAATCAAGTTGCAGGTTAGGTTTACCAATGTTAACCTCATATCTGGTACTGTCTAATATCCAAAACATGCTTAAGTTGGTCAATGGTCTCTAGACTCCAGCACCATCAAATCCATTGTTCATTTTATTTCATTGTGTATGTAGGTGCATGTCTCACATGCCAACTCCTTTGTGTGTTTGTGGAATGAAGGGATTAATAAAATAGATGTATGTAGGTGCATGCCTCGCATGCCAACTCCTTTGTGTGTTTGTGGCATGAAGGGGATTAATAAAATAAATGTATGTAGGTGCATGCCTCACATGCCAACTCATTTGTGTGTTTGTGGCATGAACGATTAATGAAATAGATCTAGTTAAGGTCATGACAGCACCAATGATCTGTCATATGTAAGTGTCTTCTTTCTTAAGATGTGTGGGCTATTTGCATTCAACATATTACAACTCAATCGATAACTTAGAAACAGGTAATGTGACGAGAAAAAGTGGAGATAAGAGAGTGACAACTTGTACGGCACAGCTCTAGACAACAAGTAGCCACGAGGAAAGAAACTTAATGTCAACCATTTGACATCTTCTCTTGCCACAGCTAAACCGGCTTCTTACTGAACAATACTATCAAGATAAGCAAATATGCCAATGTACGGGAAATACTAACACGACTTATAACAGAAAGATTGAACCCTGTGCATAGAAGTTAAATTATCCGTTAAATGGGACAAGTGTGGTTTGCTCTTTGCAATTAGCTAAGTATGACTGCTTAGTGAAAATACCATCATCAAGAAAAACAAGTAGGCCAGTCTGTCAATGAACAGAAAATATTAACAATTGATAATGAGAAAAATGGACGCACGCAGTGCGTGAAAGTTAAATGGTCTATTAAAATGAGATTGCAAGTTTTCTGTTTTCTTTGGATACATAATACAAATCATTCATGCAAAAGAAAGAAAAGAGATTACAAGTTCCAGAAAGACCTATAATACAAGACAATAGTACCCGTCTATCATGCATGAGTTTCCACGAGTTATCTTAATATAAACAGACACTGGAGGATATGCACTTACATTTGGGCAAAATTGTTCATGAATCTTTAATGTTGCAACTGGTGAAGAATCCATGCGCACGTCCCATAGATGAAACATAAAATGAAAATCATCAGTTAATAGAAGACAAGCACATTATTTGCACTCAGAAAAATGGTATTCCCGATCACCATGCATCTTTTCATATTATTATGATATCCAGAATTTGATGTACCCGCTGATAGGGATCTGTTCATATTATTATCACTGGAACTTAGGAATTTAGAACAATATAATATAGGCAGAGTTCGGGGGGGGGGGGGGGACAAGAAACCATGCCAAAAAATAGACAGGATCAGAGAATCTCTCTGAAATGCATCCTCTTTTCCAAATCCAGAATCCTAGAATTGAACTAAAACTAAAAAAATAGCATCTTACCTTATTTATTCAAAACAAAAATTTTCAAAGATTAAGCAAACATATTGAAAAAAAATACAATGAAAACAAAGGAGACAGAGAAAACACTATTTTGAATTTGAATTTGGATGAAATTACCTAGAAAATCACATTTCATATTTCATGAGTAATTCTCAGTCTAGGTTAGGCACCTTAAGGTTCATATAGTCACGGCTTAAGATGTGCCGCGTCCATCAACTGAAAGCTTTATATCAGATATGGAAACAACAATCTCGGTAAGGAATGAACGTGACCCATGACACTGTTCATCCTGAAACCTGTATTGTAGAAACCAAAGATAATGACTATTTGAAACCTCCATTCCATGTTTGACTGTAAAATAAGTCGATGGTAGTGATAACTAAAGAACTGCAAGGAAGAAAGAGGACCCACAACTCACATCATTGCATTGAAATCACATAATGATGATTGTCTCATGTCAACTAGATGAATAAAACCTGTAGAGCTGCTATATGAAAGTAGGTTACAATGAGTTGGATGGAATTCAGCTGACCTCTGAACAAAAGTAAAATAGATTGACAAGAAAATGGGTTAAAAACAATTAGATAAAAAAGGGTCTTAGTCATAAGTCGAAGCATAGCTAAGAATGTCATAACATAGGAAGGCTGTCTTGTCAAAAGGAAATGAAAATAATTTGACATCAATTGCATGGGAACAACAGATAGGGAGCTCACCACTAGGCCAGACCTTAACTATGATTCAACCAAGGAATGAGAAATATAAAGTAGTCATCGTCTTACCGGTTACCTCCGCTCACTATATATAATTCATTCATAGCAAAAGTAAATTCAGTACTTTCAGCTACAAAATGTAGAAACAAACACTGAAAAAATTGAAATTAGAGAAAATTAAAGACACCACAGCATACTTCAGAATAAAAAAAAAACACGACAATAGCACCCATTACCAGTAAGATCCTCCATATTTGATGGCTTCGTATCAGTGATATTAAATGACTGATCAGTGACTTCAAGGTTCCACAAGTTTACCCTAAAATCATCTGCAGATATAAATGTCTCACCATCGCTGCAAAAGGGTTATGAAATAAGATTCTCCCTTAGATGCAGCAAAAAGTTCTGAACTTTTAATTATATACTTCGTTGAATGCCTTCCATCATGCAGAACCCAAAACACAGTTCTGTCCGAGTTCTGGAACACATTTGTATGCAATAATTCTAAATATAAACGACAAGGAAAAATTATATTTCTGTTGAAAAAGGAAAAACCAAAAAGCACATAATAAAATTTCTGGATGGAGGATTTACCTGTTATTCGAAATTGAATTGATATTAAAATCATGAGCATAAGCATACACCCTTCTACATCTTGCATAAGCAGTGTCTTCATAGTTGGCAATCTAGTAACATAACAAGGCAGTAAATAACTTGCATACCAAACAAACCAAAACAATACCTCGAAATGATTTCTGACCTGGTCCACTCAATACTCATCATACACACCTTATAATGCAATTCATGAGATGGGAAAATATTGTTAGCCACATTATCTTCCCTTTTGAGATTTTTGCCATTAGCTACAGATGTTATGTTTTGCTCATTCAAAAAACTCCTTTCAGCCAGGAGCATTTTCTGAAGAGACAAATTGACAAGGAAAATCCATTTCCCTGGCTTTCTTCACCTTTCGATCCTTAACCTGACAAGAAAAATTCGTTTCAATTTCTTATGTAAAGAAAATTGGAAGAGGAAGTTATCAGAAGTCATAGGAACCCACACCTTCCACAATTTAATAGTCTTATCGTTGGTTGAAAGGATAAAGAGTGATCCATTGAGACTTGTACACCATTTTAGTTTGTTGATCCTCTATTCAATCTCCAGACTCTTCAAATAGTCGAACTATAAAAAGGGACATGGCATCAAGAACCAATACAAATGGATACAATATGATAAAATGACAGTGTTTCAGGTGTAAGTAAGCATAACTCAGGTTCATGACTCTGTAATTCAGTTTTATATTGATATTCAGGATGGTTTAAGGAGACATAATCCAACTGTTCCAGTTGATTTCGGGAATAGTGCCTCTCTGCAGTCTATGAAGCAATTGTAAAAGAAGATCATAAAACAACCAATACAGCAGCAATGCAAGCCTATAACATTACAGACATTAACATACTACAAAGACAAATAGGGATTCTATTTTCTTCTTTTGGATAACACGTCTCCATTTGATTTATTACTTTGGCTAATTGATTTGAGGTATTTACATTTCTGCACTCCCAAAAGTTCTTAAAAAGTAAAAGAGGGCCAATTTTTAAAAAATAAGCAAATGGATCAAGTAAAATCATGCGTTTTCTTTGTCAAAAAAAAAACAAAGAAAACTCTTCTTTATTGAAGTAGATATTCACTTTTTGCTCTTAGCTTTCTGCATTAGCAAGCGAAAAAGCGTAACAATGAAAACAAACATAAGCTGAGGTTGATGTATTGAAGATAAAGTTGCAATAAAACTGAGAAATTCTCACATCTTTTTCATTCTTTGCCTCGAATATAACAATCCGACCGCGATCTCCAACAGCGACGAAATTGCCACTCTTGTCAAATTCAACTGCAGATATTATATCAGCTGAAAAAGAAAAGAAAAACACATCTACTCTTCATTTCGTTTCAAACAGGTAAAGTTTAAATTCTTCAATTCCAAGCAATCTTAAATTTGAAGAAATAATGAAGATTGCTCATAAGGAGCAGCCGAGCAGTGGCCATGCAAGCAAACAAAACACCATTCGATGGGGAGAGAGAGAGAAGAATAGAAAGCGCAAACGTCTTGAATTTCGTCATCGAGGCTTCTTTCGCCGAAGACTTGAGAGAAGTTCCATTCTAGAAGAGTAGAGCGAGTGGAAGGGTGGCGCGTGGCATGCCTCGTTCCTCAGTCATTAAATGGTGCCGCATATTCCATTCTGTTGGAAGAGGAAGAAATATTGAGAAAAGAGGAGCTTACGTGTTGCTCCTCTGTCGTCGAACTCGAATCCTACGTGTTTTGTTCCCATAAAAATTGCGCCATTTAGTTTTCTCAGCACAGCACAATACGTGGTGTAGAGTCACCGTACTAATCCAGTACTTGTTTGTTTGGACTATACTTTTATATTGGTTATTTATTCAAATAAATTAAATAAATCGATATTTATATTTTAATATATTCAGATTATATATTATAAAAATTTATTTCAAAATAATTATTTTTGTTTTCAATATCCTCTTAAAAATTAATAACGCTGGTTCAAGTTTGCTACCTCATATAATTTAAATATAAATTAGTCTTAAAAAAAGGATAAAGAAAATGCAACAAGACAAAACATAAATGAAATATACAAACATTGATGAAAGCCATACATTCGAGTATGTCTACCATTTTAAAGAAAACCTCCCGCTCAAAACGGATCGGTATGAAAATTATAGGAACGTCAGGTTTCTCTCGTTTGGAAAAAGGAAGAGAATTCCAGGTTGCTGCTGTTTCCGACAACCGCCACGAAGAAAATGCCAGGGCCAGGACCGCACCTCATGTATGCAATGAGCTCTGGCATAGCTCTGACGCACCTCACCAAGGGGCGTTTCACGCCGCACCACACCCTTATTTACGCTCTCAACGCCTTCTTCGGCCCAGACATGGGCTCCTTCTCCGAATGGCTGAGCTCCACTTTCTTTGACGACAATTCCGTTGTCTCGTCTTTAGCCGATGAAATCCATCACCCTTTTTATTACGTGGTGATTCTAGGTTTTCCTTTATGCGTTTTCTACTCCTGGCTATCAAACGAATTGGTGGGAACGAGGATACTTGATTATGGTTATGGGGTGAGTTTACTTTTTTTTTCCCCTTTTCTGCCTTGGCAAATATATAACGGCAATGGTGATCATATGATTTGGTTGCTAATGTTGCAGGTGCCACTTTCAAGGTTGCAGGCCTTATTCTTGATAGCAGCTGGTTCATTATCACACTTTTTCCTGGACCACTTATTTGAGGTAAAATTTCATTTTTCTTATCATCCCCAAGGGTGAGGGAAAGCTGTTGTTTCATCCTCTCCCATCCACAACTATCAGGTTTTGTTAAAACAATTAGAATCAGGTTAGGGAAGGGAAGAGAACCGCTTAGTCCAAGTAAACCTATCTATATTCATGGATTCGAGGGGCTTTGTTTCACGTAAGTTTGATGGGGGAATATATATTGTACAGGAAGATGGTCACACAAAAATGTATACTTGGATAATGAGCACCGGTTGGTGGATAAATCGAGCACCTATCAACCCAGATGCTGTCATAATAGTTGGCTTCTTATGCGTTTGTTTGGTCGGCGGCTTCATCTACATCAACAGGTGCTTATTTCTTCTTCCTATTATACATCCCAGCATCCATATATATATATATATATATCTAACATATAAAATCATTTTGCAGTTCAAAGTTAAGAAAGTCAACAACGAGAAAACAAATATGTGAATCAATGAAATTGATAGTGATTATAGGAAGCCTCTACTGCTTATGGTGTGCAAGCCAAATATACTGGATGAACCCTCGTCGGCCACCGGTTGGCGAAGAAGCTGATCTTGGAGTTCTCGTATTTATGGCCATCTACTTTCTTCTTCCTCACTGGCTCTGTATTTTATCCATGGACCCTATTCCTCTTCGCACACAACGCTTCCCTGTATAGTTTGCGTTCTGACACAAGGTCATCAGAAATTGGATGCATGGGATTATTTCACTCAGCTTCTTGTACTATATGATCCCTATACTCGCATTTAATTTCTTTTGTACGTTGGTTTTGAAGGAAAAACCATGTAAAATGTTAATAGATTTAAACTAACATGATACGGTGAGTCGATCCATGAAATAATTTTTCATCCACTTTTAATTATAGTTAATTATTCTAATGCTCCATGAATTTTCTAGTTTTTGACAAATATAAAATAAATGCGTATGCAATGTTGTCATTGTGGCGTGATAAAGTTGCAAATTGTCAAAGTTTGTTGCATTTACTTTCTAGTCCTATATGGGGGAATAAATTGACCTGCAACCTCTCATCTCATCATGGTAAAACCTAAACCCTAAAGAAAATTATATCCTAAACTATGATACTCTTTTTAAATTAGTCTTTAAACTTTTGAATATTTCAATTTTATCCTCAAATTTATCCAAATATATAATTAGTTTCAACAATAATTTAACCTATTTTTTTCAAACATACAATAATATAACTTGGTCTAATGATTTTATTAGCAATAAATGTGATTAATATATACATATAGTTTGGATGAAATTAGAATGTTAAAAAAAATTTAAGAAAAATTTAGAACGAATGTCATAGTTTGAGAATAAAACAATCGAAAGTTTGAGGACCATTTAGGTGAAAATCATAATTTAGTGATGAAATTAGAAAATTTAAAAGTTGAGAAAGCGTAACAAATGAAATTAACTCATTTCTATATATGCATACAAGTTGAGTCGGTGCAATGTCTACCTATAAATTAGGTAATGTTTACATTCATATTGAATTAAATACGAATAAATAAATTTACGTTAAATTAAAAACTTATCCAAAAAATTACAATCTTATCGATGACCCAACTATTCATGCACTCATTTTAATAAATCTTCAAAGGCCAATTGATCATATGAGCCCCAACCATGGACCCGTGCTTCCAACCTAACTCCTCCTACACTCAATTTGGGTATTTATGAAAGAAAATTAGGAATGTGCAAAAAAGAATTAGGAATTTGTCTAGTAAAAACGTAATATTTATTAAATTTATATATTATAAGATTTATTATTATATTTAGTTATATCACTGTCATTGTAGTCATGGAATCAAAATTCAATAAAACAAATTTCATATGCTTGGTCAGATCAGATGCACCCCGCGCATATATTGGCTTTGGCTAAAAGTCTTTCATTTCCTATGTGACAAGTACCTAATACATTATATATATTGAGTCGTAGTTGGTGTGGTTTATTAAATATTTGAACCCTTTATGATAAAATAATCCAAAAATTAATTTTAAATTTAATTACTATATTGTACTGTTAATATTTGCTTTTTATTGATTAATATCATTTGGTTTACAACTTTTAATTAAAATTTTTATATTAAAGTTGATAAAAAAAAAGTGGAGTCGATGATTTGTTACTCTTTAGTGGTGGAGCCTAAGAATGCACAACTAATGATGACATCTTTAAACCAACCTTTCTAATGTTCAACCAATTATTGCTGCTTCTTTTTTTCCTTTCGATTGATGTTTGTATGTGATTTGTATTTTTTTTAATAATTATTAATATTTACTTTATTTAAAATAATATGTTTTTTTAATTTAATTTAGTTTATTTATATTAGAATTTAATTTATTAATTTTATTTAAAATATTTAACATCATTTCATTAAATTAAATAATAATTAAGTTATATTTTAATAAAACGAATACAACAAATATTAAAATTGTTACTTATATATTACTAGCACATTTATCAAAAATCAAAGGAGCAAATTGAATTGTTCAATTGAGATTATCATTATTGTATTGTTTTAAAATATTTAGATTACAAATTAATTTTTTATTTAAATCTTAGATGTTTAAGATATTGTATCAAATGTATATATTTACATATAAAATTTACTATATCATTATTGTAATAATATTTTTAAAATTAATGTGTTTTGTATATAACATAGATATTTTTATATGTATATAATTAATTGCTTACAAATATAAATAATGTGAAAAATAAAGATAGTATGTGGAGTAGTGCAGTACCGATTAGACAAAATTAGAGAAATAATACAGGTGGGGAAAATTTAGAAAATGTGGGTGATTGAGAATTATTTTGGATCTAGGCCATTTATTATATTACACGTGAAATCTATCACGTATAGGTGACTAATGTTATATAATTTTGATTTATTTTATATGATAATTTATATTTTTCAAATATATTTTATAAAATTCATCGCTCCGTGTTTAAAGTTTTACATGTACAGTAAAAAATGACTTAAATCCTAAAACAAATATGAGGTGTCCTATTTTACTAATTAATTATTTTGCCCGTGTTTTCTAATTTTATCTACAGATTACTTTAGATTATATATATATTTGCATAATTTTCACCATAATAAATATCAAAGATCGAGAAAGCATATTTGATTGGTTAATTAAAACATTTAAACTGCTCATTTATATTTCTTATATATTTTTTTTTGTTATGAGTTCTAAATCTATTAAGAATATTTTTTTTCTTTTAAAGTCTTTCTCCTCTAAGTAGGATTATAATTAGATTTAAAATTTGTCAACAAAATTATATGTTAATAATTTATCAAAACTATTTTATAATTTTTAATAATCAAAAAATTTAACAAAACAAAATTTTATAATTAGATGACCAATTATATACTTTATCCTAATAATTTTCAACACATTAATTTGGATTTCAATTTTTTCGAAATGAGAAAAGGGAAAATAATCACGTACGGCAACCTTAATATATGACTAAAAAAATGTGTTGCTGGTTTTGTTATTATTTAAATAAAAAAATCAGTAAAAATTACTATAAACATTATTTTTTCTACTGATTTTATTATTATTGAGCATTTTACCAGTTTTATTATTTTTCTACCAGTTTTATTATTATTGGACACTTCACCGAAAATATTTAAAAACATTTGATGTTTTAAATAAAAATAATAATATTTTAGATAATTTTTATCCATTTTATTATTATTTAAATAACAAAATTCATAACACTTTATTTTAATATTATATTAAAAGTACGTATATCTTTGAAATCATGAAGATAGGGAAAATGACAGAAAAAGAAAGGCGATAAAATCCAACAGAACCGCTGACAAAGAGGCAAAATTATCAATGTCGTGTTATTGTGACTGATCCCGACCAATTCTACTTGCATATTTTTTATTCTCTTTCTTTCTAACCTAGCAATAATAATTCATGAGACTAGAAAAATATAAAAAGTCAAAAACCCAACCCCAAGGAATTATCTTATTTTTATCCTTTAAGAAACCCATCTATATGACGAACTTATCGTTCTCTCATTGATGTGGTTCATCAATCAACATCACCAATTGATCATATATATATATATATATATATATTATAATATAAAATTTCTTATTCTTATTCTTTATAATTTGTGTAAATTTTATTAATTAATCTAATTTTTTTTTAATTTTCTTTAACCGATGACAACACCGATTTTGATGTTAGTTGTAGTCCGTCAATTTTTTCTTTATTTTTTAATTTTTTAATAAGAATAATTATGTCTTTGTGATATGTTTTATATATTTATGACACGTTTATCTTTACTTTGTGACATGTTTTCTTTACCTTTTGGTAGCTTACAGTTTTTGTCGTTGTTTTTGTTTATCTTTTTTATAGGGTTGGATTTGACATCGCAACGATTGATCATGTAACACCCCCCAAACTGATGCGGGTGACCCGATCCGAGGTGTCATATTAGGGCTACCGGAGCGACCAATAATAAAATCCAGGAAAAATTAAAATTTCTGTTAAAACGCGTAAAATCATAAAACAATTTATAATTAAAATACAAGTTTAGAAAACCATTCATATATTATAAACAGAATTAAAATCATACAAGTTTCAGACTTAGTATAAAAATTAAATGTGATATACATGCCCCTAATTACACTTGTACCGTACTTTGCAAACCAAGCCAAAGAAACTCCCATTACAAATGTCGATAGTTGCACTTGATCAATTTTTTAACCTGAAATGGTGAGTAAAAGAGTGAGCTTTGGGAAGCTTAGTAATACATAACTACCAAGTGATGCTGAAGGACATGCAGATAAATGGGAAACCATAAATTTTTCTTATTGATTCAGACGTTTACAGGTTTTCATGAGAAGTTGAGGTTCCACTGATATTTCCTCAAATAAAAGACATGAATCTTACAATTCAGATGACTAGGTTCAGGAGATCAAAATAGGATGTCTAGTGTGTTCCCACGTAACCAGAATAAATAAAATCATAGATTATAAATAGTAATATTTTATTTCATTAAAACAAAGAAATTTTAAAATTATTGTAATATCTTCGTCAAAATACTCCATATGCAATCCCTCATAACTGCATCTATAAGGGCTTACCTTAAGCACAAAGCAAATGAGCCACCCTAAGGGAATACCTTGGAGCCTATGGTCCTACCCAATGGACCTAGGAGCCAACCTAAGGGAATGTATTGTGTCCGTAAGGAATTATCAGCTTGATCAGAATTGAACCTCCATACTTCAGTATCATACTCAAAATAATATCTCAATAAAACAATTCACACAATAAGTAGTGAATTCAATGGTCCATAAATCGACACAATCATATATTCCAGTGAAAACAAGTAATCATATAATATATATCAGATAGCCATAGTACATAAACAATCAACCTGTATATCAGTAAATCAGTAATTATGGTAAATCACATTTCAAAACAGATAAAACAATTATATAGTACGTAGGGAACACACCAGAAGATTCAGTTATTTTTCGGAGGTATTTGATCGTTATCAAGAGGGAAAACATCAAATTTTTTTAGATTGGTCGAATTTCAAGTACGTTGTCCCTATAAAAAGAGTTCGATTACTAACGGATCTAATAAGATATTTAGGAATTGATACTTCAGTACCATTTAGGATTCAGGTGCATTAGGAAGGTATTCAAGAACCTTAAGTCAGAACATAATTTAAAATTCATATATAACTAGAGTAATTCCATTATTCAGTCAATCATAGGTATTTTAGAAATTTGATTCTTGGAGAATTCTCCGTAATTTAACCTAATAATGGTTGGACAAAAATTTGCAATATTTAAGATTATATCGAATCATCAGACTTTAGTCAAGTCGCACTGATCAGATTCCAACACTGTGATACTTGCCAATCATTTGGGTCAAGATACTTCACATATATTCACTCCTTAGTACTGATTGCACTAATTAAATGAACCTCCTTTATAATCAACATCGAATAGATCTTCACAAGACAAACAAATATTTTGGTGGTGTTTAATTTATTTATGAATTGCAACAATATCCAGAATGACCAATGTACTTGGGTGTGATTCACCTTAAATAACATTACAACACTTAGGCTTATCAGTGTTTCTAAAATCTACCAAGGACATAAACTTATTTTAAGCCGTTAGGATAACATGCAACTTCAACAATTGAGATTACTTCGGTCATCATAAAGTTCAAGGTATTATGGTTCTTTTAAGGTTTAGAGTATTTTGGTCATTTGAACATCAGAGGTTATTTTAGTTGTTTTGCAACTCAAGGACATTTCGATAATTCTGATCAATCCAAACATATGTACATTTTCTGGCAATTTGGCCAGATATGTCCTTTCAGGTTTATTTTTCAATTTTAGGGGCAATATTGGTCTTTACATTGCAAGGGCATTTTTGTACTTTTATACTATAGGGTTATTTTTATCATTTTGATTTTGAAATAATACTTGATAATTTGTCCTATTTAATATTTATCTCGAATTATCATGATTCTGGGTCAAATAAGGTTGAATGGATCTCAACACCGTAGTACTCACTAATCATTCAGGGTGATATCCTTCAAAATATTAACTTCTCAATACTGATTACACTAGTTGAACCAGTCACCGTCATACCACCATTAGAACAAATCTTGAGGAGAAGAACATGTATCCCAATGATATTATTCATTTATGTATTACAATCGTATCCAGAGAGAGACCAACGAGCTTGGGCTGTGTTCCAAGACTTTTAGAGGCAGTTCAATGCTTAAGTTTAAGGTATTTTCAGGGTTTGTCCAAATTAATTCACTTATTCAAGTCGTTTCCACTATCATAGGTAAATAATGTCATATTTGTATCTGAAGGGCATTTTCGACACTTTATCGAGATTAGCATAGGTTTATAATAGTTAACATTTATTCCCATCCCAATCATATTTATTTATACATTAATCAATACCTAACTTGTACCATACAATATGCAATGAGTAGTAAAGTATTACCTCGATTTATGAGCCACATCGATTGACCATTTAAACTCCATTCGATTGCCCTCAACTTTAAGTCAATGACTCATAAAGTCTCATATGCGTAGCAAACGAATTTACTTTAGAAACAGAACTTAATTGAAAAAAACAAATTGAATCCGAAAATAAAACAATGAAAAATAGCTTACCGAGTTTAAATTTAGAAAAACATACTTTAGATTCGAACTCAGGACTTCGAAACACATAAAATATGACTTTTTCGAAAAGTTGACTTTTTTGTCAAAGGCAACGGTTAACGAGTTGAGCAGGTTAATAAAAATATTAAATTAAAATTAAATAAATAATAATAAAAATTGGGGTGTAACAGATCAAGATAACACTTATTTGTTATCATGCTGATATTCCCTGCTTTGGACCATGAGATTGATTTGAATATGCATTTTGTGCTCGTGGATAGTTTTCTCACGTCTCTTGACTCTGATTTGCGATTTGTCGGTGGTCTTTCAATAGTTTCATTCCTTTTTATGGTTCGTTTACGATGCAGTTAGATTTGTTCGTATATTTATTTTATTCGAGCATTAATAAGGTTTTTTAACCTTTTCATTTTATGATCATTGTGTGATTTAAGTGGCTAGTTTTTGTGTTAATGGATATAGAAAAATGTTCTAATTATAATTTAGTTTACGTTTACGATTATGCTCGTAAATTTTTATTGTAATTCTGGATATTTTATAATTTTAATAAAACTAGTGGCTTCTATACAAAATAATATAATAAGATATTCGAGTAGTAATTTCTGAAACTTTGACTATTGATAATTTAATTATTAAAATTTCTATTTTGGAAATAATTTTATAATTAAAATTTTAATATTTTTAGGAAATGTATAATACTGGATAAATAGTAAAAATTAGTATATTTTTAATATGAAAAATGAATTAGGTTTTTTTTTTAAATCCTCTAATTGTGGGTACCCTAAATCTATAAGATTACATACAAGTTGGTGGATGCATCTATTCATTTGAAGTAGGTGTTTTAGTTTCTCTGCCCATCGTTTTTCAGTAAAAAAAAAAGCTTTTTTTGTCAGAGCAGAAACAAGAGAAAAAAGAGTTGAAAGATTATCCCGTGCGGCCATGGCAGCTCGCAGAATATCTTCACTGCTCACTTGTTCACTCTCTGCTTCATCATCTGTATCTTCTTCTCTGCTTTCATCTATAGGTGCTCACTCATGTCTTTCACCTTTGTTTTTCTTCCTTCTACCCTTTTGTTTATTTGATTTGGTTCAAGTTTTGTTTTCTCTTTATTGCTTTAAAGTTTTTGTTTTATAAGCTTAGATATTATTGCATGCCTTAATATAGTAGTTTCTGACTTTCTGTTTGGTTGATGAGAAATTGAACAGTAGAAAGGAAAATGTTGGTTGTTTCATCTGCTTGTGTTTTAGCTTTGTTGTGTGTGTGTGTGTTGTGGGAAAAAGGTTCAAGCTCTGTCCTTTTATTAAATGCAGTAATCTGAGAAAAATAGAAAACGAAACATTGCTTTTCACAAGTACCATGCTTATTGCTTCCTTTCAGCAATAAATGCATTTGGTCTACCTTTCTCATCCTTCTAGCCGAGTTGGAAAAGTTACCGGCTCACTGTTTTTTAATTAATTTCCCCAATTTTCTTCTGAGAAATTTGTATGTAGCGATAAATCTTCTTCCCCCCTCCTTTTTTTTCCAAGGGAAAAGCAGTGGTAGGTATGCAAGTGTGAAGAGGTTTAGCAATGCTGCGGCTCTGGAAGATCTGGTCGTACCTCCTGTTCAAATATCTTACACTCAACATTTAATTGATGGGAAATTTGTAGATGCCGCATCAGGTAAAGAGAGCTTTTAGCTTTAGTTTGTTTTTGTGCATCGAAACTGATGTTATTTGATGACATTGATCGAACAGGGAAAACATTCCCTACCTATGACCCCCGTTCCGGAGAAGTGATTGCACGTGTTGCTGAAGGTGATGCCGAAGATATTAATCGAGCAGTCGCCGCTGCTCGTGAGGCGTTCGACGAGGGACCATGGCCGAAAATGACTCCCTATGTAAGGATTTCGATTCGGGGTTGGCTTTACTATATGAAAAGATTTCTGATTTGTTAATATTTTTATTTCAGGAACGGTCACGGATTCTTTTGCGGTTTGCCGATTTGGTTGAGAAACATAGTGAGGAGCTTGCGGCATTGGAGACATGGAATAATGGAAAGCCTCACGAGCAGGCTACTAAATCTGAATTGCCGTTGCTCGTACGTCTTTTTCACTACTATGCAGGTTGGGCAGATAAGATCCATGGGCTAACAGTTCCGGCTGATGGACCTCACCACGTTCAGACATTGCATGAGCCAATAGGTGTTGCAGGACAGATTATTCCATGGAACTTTCCTCTTCTCATGTTTGCTTGGAAGGTTGGGCCTGCATTGGCATGTGGCAATACCATTGTCTTAAAGACTGCTGAGCAAACTCCATTGACTGCTCTCTATGTGGCTAAGCTGTTCCAAGAGGTACTCAAAATAACAATCAGAAAATATTTTTTTTTTGAATTAGGACCAGGAGTCGAGTAAAATGTATCAACACCCCACGGTTTCTTGCTGGTTATGAAACTAGTCTTAAAAGTCTTGGGCATAGATCATGCAAATGCTGAATGCATTTTGAGATGTCTACGTTAAATTTATCTTAATCACTTCCACTTCAATATTGACACCATTTTGATCACCAAAATCACCATCTTGAAACTTTCCCTTAATTCTTTATGATAGGCTGGTCTCCCTCCAGGTGTTTTGAATGTAGTTTCTGGCTATGGTCCATCAGCTGGTGCTGCTCTTGCCAGCCACATGGATGTAGACAAGGTATCAAAATTCCAGTCTTCGGATCTTCTGTTTCAATATCATTTCATAAGTACATGATAATATAGCAGCATATACTCTTAAGACTTAACCTTTATTCACAGAGGACCAGAAAAGGCTAGGTACATAAATGATGCCAGATTGCTACGGGTAAAATCATTCTACTCTTCATTGGCTGGTCTGGTCCTCGTTAAAATGCACACCTTAATTCTGTTTTTCAGTTATGCCTATGGTTAATACCAAAAAAATTACACATATGGAATGCGAAGACGTCGAAGCAACAAGCTTCATTGGGCTATGGCTGAATGGTAACTGAATTGAGAGTTTAGACTGTTCTGTTTGAGGGAGCGACTAAAATAACTAGCCAAGCAAGAAGATGGATCTCACTTGTTCTGTAAAAAGAAAAACTATGATTTAACTCTGAAAAATAGCTTGCCTGCGTTTAGAGTTTAATGTTCCTCTGGTCGATATCGAGTTCCATGGGTTGATGGGTTCATACCCCATAAAACTATGATGTTACATTCTGTATGTTTTTCGAAATACCAATGTATAATGCCATTAAAACTTTGTCTGCAGGTTGCATTCACAGGATCAACTGATACTGGAAAGATTGTGCTTGAATCGGCTGCAAGAAGCAATCTGAAGCCGGTGACGTTAGAGCTCGGAGGAAAATCGCCATTCATAGTATGCGAAGATGCTGATGTTGACCAAGCCGTGGAGCTTGCTCATTTTGCCTTGTTCTTTAATCAGGTTTGTTGGATATGAAATTTAGGACGTTTGACACACCTTAGATAGTTTTGTAATGTTTTTTCTCTCCAGGGGCAATGCTGCTGTGCTGGGTCTCGCACTTACGTTCATGAACGTATATACGATGAGTTCATAGAGAAAGCAAAGGCACGTGCACTGCGACGCATTGTTGGTGATCCCTTCAAGAATGGTGTTGAGCAAGGTCCTCAGGTAATATACCTAACTAACCCCCTCTCGCTCTGTGTCTTCTTCCCTTGATCGATATTTAGCAAAACATATGAAGCACTTGAGCGGATGTCTCTATTCATATCATAAAAATATCAGATTGACACGGAGCAGTTTGAGAAAGTTCTAAGGTACATAAGATCAGGAAAGGAAAGCAAGGCAACCCTTGAATGTGGAGGTGACAGACTTGGAACAAAAGGATACTTTATCCAGCCTACTGTTTTCTCAAATGTTACGGTAATAACCATCATTCCTCAGCAATAAATACCTTTATGATTAGTTATTTAACATATTGCTTAACATCGTCATTGCATTGTTATCAACTAGGATGATATGCTGATAGCACAGGATGAAATCTTCGGGCCGGTGCAATCTATCCTGAAGTTCAAGTAAGTATCGATTGGCGTCGGCTCTAAATATATGAAATATTTTGAGTTGATATGAATCATGTTTGATTGGTGCCAGGGATATTGATGAAGTGATTAGAAGGGCGAACACAACCCGATACGGTCTAGCAGCAGGAGTGTTCACCAAAAATATAGACACAGCAAACACATTGACGAGGGCGTTGAGGGTGGGGACAGTTTGGGTTAATTGCTTCGATGTGTTTGATGCCGCAATTCCTTTCGGTGGGTACAAGATGAGTGGCATTGGAAGGGAGAAAGGGATATACAGTCTTCATAACTACTTGCAGGTGAAGGCTGTCGTTACTCCTTTGAAGAATCCCGCATGGTTGTAATTTTCCCTTTGCCTTGTTTCGTTTGGAACATAATAAACACACACCACTGACTTTTCTAGTTATGCTACCAAGAGTTCCTGGATCAAACAAAATCATTGTCTCTTTTATTGCTCAAAGGTTGTGTTGTCAATAATTGGATCCACTCGTTCATTGTTTTCCTTTTTATTTATTTCACTAAAACATGTTAGATCAACCTTTTTATTTGTTTTCTGATATCATTGAAATTTTCAACATGATTAACAATTACTGTTTCAGTACATGATTTTTTTTAATGATAAAAAAGTTCATGGTTCTCAGTTCTCACGCGTCTACTCCTGACTCAAGGTCCCATCCATCAACAAAAAGATTTTTTAATCGAGTTTTTGGGATTAAATCAAGGCTTAACTATACTTTTTTTTACGTAAGTGCTTATATTTTTTTTCGTTGTAACGTATTTTTTTTTGTTAGTAATATATGTCACATCTTGATAATTTTAAAAATTTTATATAAAATTAAAAAAAAATTATATATTTTAAAAAATAAAATACATAAATTTTGAAATAATCTTAAACTTTGAAAGATTTCATTTCAATCAATAAACTCACGCCAACTATTACTCTTTGTCGTCGAAGAAATTTCACCCGACCTCTCTCCCCTGACAACCAAAAGTCTTATTAAATAGTGATCACTTGACAACCGATCGACGACAAATCAATGTTTAAAATCCCGCAAATCTAGGATGAAAATCGTTAGCTCATGCGATTTCGTTGGTGAATTGACAACAATTACAGTGACATAACTAGGATGTAAGGACTAAGTCGGCAACGATTGTCGTGGTCGGAGCATTGTGTTTCCATCTAACTGTGTTGCGGTAACAACGGCGGTGGCGAGACCATCTCAGTATTGGCTAAGGACGCTTCGGTCATGAGCTCACTGTACTCAGTTACGACGGATGGCACAACTCTGGCAAGCAAAAAGCTAGTTCACTAATTAAGATTCTTCTCAAGTTCCATGAAACAATTCATCTGGACAAGGGTGTCCAGCATTTTCACATGAACAATCAGTTCATGTTTGATAGCGGTAATCAAGGATTCTTTTCATGTAAATATATAATCATAGTCGTCAGGATCTGAGTTCTGAAACATTAGCTTAATTTTTGCTGGAGCTAATGATTACATCCTATCTATATCGCAATTAGTTTAACTTCCGACTAGAAATTGTGTCGTAATTCTTTTGTAAATAAAATAATATTGTGTAGCAGATGCTTTGAATGAATGGCCTCCTCACTGCATTAATATAAATTTTACACAAAATTGTTATATATATATATATATTAATGAATATAATTAATGACAATAAATATTTATTATAAATAAATTTTACTTATTGGAAAATTATTATTACCATAAAAGAGTAGTCTTCTTTTCAATGTGTATATCTTATTTTAGATACTTTTTACATAAATATTGTTAACTGGAACAATATTATACAAATTCTTTATATGTAGGTTTAAATGAAAAGATGTAATTTAAAAGATGTAATTTTTTTAATTTCAAATACTTTTTTTATTAAAATAATTATTTAAATGATATTTTATTATATTCTATTAATTAATAAAAAATATTTTCATCAATCCCATATTGACACATGTCGTAATCGTTGTACAAAGGCAACGGTCAAAGAGCCATAGGCGGTGAGGATCTGGTTTAGGAATTGACGATGGAAATAAGAAGCAAGACGTCCAAATTTCGGATTTTATGAGTAGTGAATGAAGAAGAATGTTAATGGTAGAAAAGCTGAAAATTGGAGAAGATGAATGTCACGAAGAAGGATTTTAAATTTATTACATTATTTTTTTATGAAATAATGATTGGAGTTATAATAGCAACTAAATATAAATTTTTTTGATAAGATAACAGCAACTAAATATAATCTTGGTTAATGCGCCTACTTTAATATTACCAAAAATAAATGAAATAATTAAAAAGTGAGAATTGTTTATATGAAGAATTAAAGAGATATTCACTTTTTGACTCGACTCTGAATCAACGAATATAGTAAAGAAGAGAGAGATAAAATCTCTATCAGCATATATATGTGTATACATGTAGAAGACGAGGGAAGATAGGCTGACCAAAACACACAATGGACAACCTTTTCTCCGTCCAAGAGATCTCCGCCGCAGACGACAATGACGAAGTTATGCACTGTACTGCTCCCGACTGGGATTTTCTGCGGCAGTTTTTTAGCGAAGAAAGAAAAGAAGAAGAGGCTAGGAGGACTGGGAGGAACGACGATGACGAACTCAGTTATGATATGCACCCTACTGCTTCCGAGCAGAAGAATCCTAGCGAAGATGGCAAGGGGAATCAGGAGAATGTGTGTTTAGAGAGTAATAGTAATGATAATGTTCCCGTGGATGCAGATGAATACCACCAAGCTCTTCTTAAGAACAACCTTTACTTGGCTTGTGCTGCTGTTGCCAATGCAAGGTCAAGCGTAAGTATTTTTACTACTACTACTACTACTATTACTATTACTATTACTATTACTAATTTGCATGTGTTTGGATGACGTACGGCCTTAATAAATAAAGGGTCGGGATTAGGGAAGGAAAAGTTTGTCATCTTTAACAATCTAATGCGTAGAATTTATGTTTAGTAAAAAGGATCTGTAATTCTTGGTTCTATACATATCAAACAGGCATCCTTTGTAATACCCCATGACTCTGCCGACAGTAGTGGATCACAGGCATTCGATACTCCAGGATCCGAAGCTACTTCTAAGGGTTTAAGAGCATTTCTTATGTGCAGCTGTTGTTGTTTCTACCATGCATGCATCTTCATTGCGCATAATATTGGTGTTTCGCTATTATATACAGGTGCTGCTGAAAAAGAGGGTAAGGGATCTCCTTCCTTGCTCAACGGAACAATGGATCCTACTGATGCAAAACGTGCGAGGAGGTAACCCTTGCTTACCCTTTTCTTTTTCCTACATTGTCCGTAGCATTGATCCATGCGGTGGGTTTAGGTTGCAATCAAATCGAGAGTCTGCTAGGCGCTCTAGAACAAGGATGCAGGCTCAAATGACTCAACGCCACACACAAGTGCATGCCTCACTTTGTTTCTGTTGTTTCCCTCATTCGAGCTATACAGATACTAATCCCATTTTTAGTTTAGGTTGCTCAACTCAAACTGGAAAACCAACCCGTATTGCGGAGTCTCGCTGACATAACCCAAAAGTGCGACATATCAGCCATCGAAAACAGAATTTTAACAGCTGAGGTTAAAGCATTGGAAGCAACGGTAAATGACTTATTGTTGGTCTTAAACTTGAGTTTCTTGCTGCCTGTTTAGGTCTTGCAATGTTCATACTGGTCGAAATTTTAGCTGGTCCGACTTACCAGTTGACATCTCTACTTAATGCACATTGCTGAAAATCCTTTTCCAGTTGAAATTGACTGAATGGGAGTTCATCACAGTCACCGGTTGCGACCCTGCATCACTCGATATATCAACAATGAGCATGTCATCTTTCAATGCAAGTCCCTCCGAGAACGATGCTGATCCCGTGCAAGACGGCCTGAATCATCCCCTATATCAGGATGCTGCTGCCTATAATGCACATATGGCCCGAGAACCAATAAATGCTGAATTTTCATGCTGAGATTGAAGACAAATTAACCCCTGGACAACTTGTATTATATACATGCATTTTATTTTTTTATATTCCTTTACATGGATGACTTTTTAAATTGAACCTTACAATCTATGCTAAACCAACTTTAATAATGCCGATTATTAGTTTAGCATCTAAAGAATAATCTTATAAAAGAGAAAGTGCACGTAACGTGATTGTATAAACTAACTAAACCTTAATTCTAGCGTACATCAACTTCAAATATACAAAAAAATACAACAACAAAGGAAACAGCTTTACATTCATTCAACAAAGTGGAATGTGGCATAGCTTCCAACTCCACTTTTTCCTCTTGGCTCGGATCGGATTGTCGTTTTTTTGTTTTCATTATAATACAAACTAGACTTGTTCAACTTTTTAAACAACAGTCTCGCAGTCTTTTTCTTTTTGTATGCATTTTGGAGTAGTTCTTTAAGGCCCTCGATACCTCCGGAAGCAAAAGCAGCCCCGCTGTTGATCGATGGGAATCATACCTCCACCTTTTGATGTGTCTATGGCTTCCAGCATCGAAACTACCTCGTCCATTTCAGGCCGCTTGTCAGGGTTTGCATCCCAACATCGTTTCATTACGTTTGCAAGAGAACCGGGGCAACATCTCGGTATTTCCGGTCTCAAATTCTGTGGTTTCAATGTAAGGATAATTAGAAACCTTGTAAGGACATTGTCGGATAACATAAATTAACGATGAACAAGGGGGAGGGAACAATAATGGTCTACTCTACGGGGGGAAAGAAAGCAAAGTTAATATACCAGACGAACTGTTAAAAGTTTCAAAGTTTGGCAACCAACTTTGGAAAATGTTTTTTCAAAGTTTGGTAAATGTTTCTTTGAAAAATGTTTTTCAAAGTTTGGTAAAATTTTGGTAGATGTTTGTTGAAAATAGGAATGGGTAAATTCACTTTAGTCATTGCACTTTAGGGTATTTTCAAAGATTAGTCCCCAAGTTTCTACTATAAATACCCTTACCCATTTAGCTTCAAAATAATCCCAAAACATTTCTTTCTTCCTATACTAGAGAGCTTTCTTGTGAGTAATGAGTGTTTTGTAAACACCTGTAAATTTTCTCTCTTAGTAAAAGATCTGCAGCAGCCCGAAGACGTAAGCACAATTGGCTGAACTCCGTTATCAATTTTCGGGTATTATTTTTCCGCTTTTAATTCGCATTCTCACTAATCTGGTTATAGAGAAATTACTTGTACTCGGTTTATTTTCCTAACAATCGGTAATCAGAGCTTTTGGTTGTGAATTTTGTCAAATTTTCTGCGAGGTTACTATTCATTACTATTCACGTGAATAGTGAATTTCGTGAATAGTGAAATTCGGTCGGCGATACGAGTTTGTCGACGGTGGTGTTCTAATACACGGTGATTCGCAAGAATTGTCAGAAACGATCCAAACGAAGCCAGATTCGAGTGGGAGCGATGGCTGCAGACGAAGGGAAGGTGAAAATTGAAAAGTTCGATGGTGCGGACTTTGGCTTTTGGAAGATGCAGATTGAAGATTTTTTGTACCAGAAAAATCTATATCAACCTCTCTCAGGAAAGCAACCAGAGGGCATGAAGGATGAAGATTGGGCTCTTCTCGACAGACAAGCCCTCGGAGTTATCCGACTGACGTTATCCAGCAATGTTGCATTTAACATAGCAAAGGAAAAGACCACGGCGGGTCTTATGGCGGCTCTCTCCAGTATGTACGAGAAGCCATCGGCCTCAAACAAAGTTCATTTGATGAGGCGATTATTCAATTTGCGGATGGCGGAAGGGGCATCGGTGGCACAACACCTAAATGAACTCAACACAATCACAACTCAGTTGAGTTCAGTGGAAATTGAGTTTGATGATGAAGTTCGAGCTTTAATTCTCTTATCATCTCTACCAGATAGTTGGAATGCTACTGTTACAGCAGTCAGCAGTTCGTCGGGAAACAGCAAATTAAAATTCGACGATGTTCGGGATCTGGTATTGAGTGAAGAAATTCGACGAAGAGAATCAGGTGAAGCATCAACCTCCTCAGCCTTGCACACGGAGTCTAGAGGGAGAACTTCAGAAAGAAATTCAAATCGTGGCAGATCAAAATCCAGAAGGGGCAAATCAAGAACAGGAAATAAAGATTTTACCTGTTATAATTGCGGCAAGAAGGGTCACTTCAAAATAGATTGCCGAGCACCGAAGAAAAATACCGGCGCACAGGAATCTGCCAACATGACGGAGGAGACAGGTGATGCCATGATTTTAAGCGTCAACAGTCCGATTGAATCATGGATCTTGGATTCAGGGGCATCTTTCCACTCCACCCCATGCCGAGAAATCATGGAGAACTATGTCAGTGGTGATTTTGGGAAGGTTCATCTAGCTGATGATGAAACCTTGAAGATCGTCGAAAAAGGAGACATCCGACTAAAGCTGCCAAACCAGACCACCTGGAAGCTGACAGGAGTGAGACATATTCCTGGCCTCAAAAGAAATCTGATTTCTGTTGGACAGCTTGATGGAGAAGGATATAGTACAACTTTTTCAGGCTGTGAATAGAAGATTACCAGATGAGCACTCGTCATTGCTCGTGGTAAGAAGACCGGTACTCTCTATGTAACCTCAAATTTAGAGAATATCATTGCAGTAGCAGATGTTGATGGAAAATCAAACCTATGGCACCAAAGGCTCGGCCATATGAGCGAGAAAGGAATGAAGATACTTCTGTCAAAAGGGAAGCTGCCGGATCTAAAGAATATAGATGTCGGACTATGCGAGGATTGCATCTTTGGAAAACAAAAGAAAGTCAGTTTTACAAAGATTGGCAAGACTCCCAAGGCAGAAAGGTTAGAATTGGTTCATACTGATGTATGGGGACCATCCCCTGTTCCATCTCTTGTAGGCTCACTATATTATGTCACCTTCATCGATGATTCAACAAGGAAGGTGTGGGTTTATTTTCTGAAGAAGAAATCAGAAGTCTTTGATACCTTCAGAAAATAGAAGGCCATGGTGGAAAATGAGACTGGTTTGAAAGTCAAGCGGTTGAGGTCTGACAATAGAGGAGAGTACAGAGACAGTAGTTTCAGAGTTTTCTGCGCAAACAATGGGATCAAGATGGAGACAACAGTTCCCATAACACCGCAGCAGAATGGCGTAGCAGAGCGCATGAACAGAACTCTGAATGAACGTGCCAGAAGCATGAGGATACATGTCGGATTGCCTAAATTTCTATGGGCTGAAGCTATCAACACTGCAGCTTACCTGATCAACCGTGGGCCCTCAGTTCCTTTGGATGGCGGAATACCAGAGGAAGCTTGGAGCAAGAAAGAAATAAACCTTTCACACTTAAGAGTGTTTGGTTGTATTTCTTATGTACACATAAACTCTGCTGAAAGAAGTAAACTTGATGCCAAGTCCAACAAATGCGTCTTTGTTGGTTACGGTGGTGATGAGTTCGGTTACCGATTTTGGGACTACGAAAATCGAAAGATCATCAGAAGCAGAGACGTCATTTTCAATGAAAATGTGATGTACAAAGATAGGTCAACCGCAGAATCAAGTAATACCGAGCTGAAACAAAGGAATTTGTTGAGTTCGAGGAGATTTCTGGAAATGATGTTCAGATCAATCCTGAAGCAGTTCAAGAAGAACCACACACACCAGAATTGAGACGCTCCTCCAGAATTCCTAAACCAACCCAACGGTATTCGCCTTCTTTGCACTATTTGTTGCTGACTGAAAATGGTGAACCAGAGTGCTATGATAAAGCAATGCAGGTGGAGGATTCAGTCAAGTGGGAGTCTTCCATGAAAGATGAGATGGACTCGCTTATGTCAAATCAGACGTGGGAATTAGCTGAATTACCACCAGGCAAGAAAGCGCTCTATAACAAGTGGATTTACAGGATCAAAGAAGAACATGATGGGAGAAAACGCTACAAAGCAAGATTGGTTGTCAAAGGTTTTAAGCAAAAAGAATGTATTGACTACAATGAAATTTTCTCTCCAGTCGTAAAACTGTCTACAATCAGACTGGTGTTGAAAATTGTAGCTGCGGAGAATTTACATCTTGAGCAGTTAGATGTAAAGACAACTTTCCTTCATGGTGATTTGGAGGAAGAGATCTATATGAGGCAGCCAGAAGGCTTCATAGAGGCATGCAAGAAAAACCTGGTATGCAGGTTGAAGAAGAGCTTGTATGGTTTAAAACAAGCTCCTAGACAGTGGTACAAGAAGTTCGATAGTTTCATGAGTAGCAGTGGTTTTACCAGATGCCAAGCAGATCATTGTTGTTACATCAAGAGGTTCGACAATAGATTCATTATTTTATTGTTGTACGTTGATGACATGCTCGTTGCAGGCTCAAACATGCAAGAGATTATAAACTTGAAGCAAAAATTGTCAAAGCAGTTTGCTATGAAGGATCTGGGCGCTGCAAAGCAGATTCTTGGGATGAGGATCAAGAGAGACACAAAGTCGGGGACTTTGATGTTATCACAGGCTGAGTACATCAACAAAGTACTCTCCAGGTTCAACATGCTAGATGCTAAACCAGTAAGTACACCTTTAGGTGTTCATTTCAGACTCTCCAAAGACCAATCACCAAAGACAGAGGAAGAACGTGCACACATGGTGAAGGTGCCGTATGCCTCAGCAATTGGAAGTCTGATGTATGCCATGGTTTGTACCAGACCAGATATTGCTCAAGCAGTGGGAGTTGTTAGCAGGTACATGAATAATCTAGGCAATGCACATTGGGAAGCAGTCAAATGGATCCTCAGATATCTGCGGTGTACTACAAACAAAACACTTTGTTTCAAAGGTGGAGATACGATACTGACATGCTATGTAGATGCTGACTTAGCCGGAAATGTCGACATCAGAAGGAGCACTACAGGGTATGTCTATACTCTAGGAGGAACTGCAGTGAGTTGGGTTTCTCAACTACAGAAGATAGTTGCTCTCTCCACAACTGAAGTAGAATATGGCGCTGTTA